CGTGCTTGGGCCTTCGTAAGACTATATGTATGAGTGTGCAGGCAAATTATTTTAGTTTCGGATAGTGCGTCAAAGAAATGAACCACCAAACCTTTTTGTTCGCCTCGGAATAGTGGCCACAGTAAGTCGGTGACAATGTTGGCAGCGCGCGTGGTCCTCTGAAGAAAAGGGGAAGGTGGCATAAGGGAGATTAACTTCTCACAACGCTTTGAATGACTGGAATGACGCAACATCACTTGCTTTCTTTAATGTACAGTCTATTTTTAGACGGACTTTTTAATTACAAAAGCTTTTGCTCCTCGGCGTTTAAGTAGGTCAGAATGTCAGCCACAGCGCAAAACATTTGAGGTAACTTCTGGACGTTTTATCGTCATCTACTGTTTTACAATGTCGTTCTAGTTGTTTGTTAGTTAGTAAGTGTACTAGCAAACCAGTGAACCAAATGTTCACCAAAACCTGATTTAAAAAAAATAAAAAAAAATGTATTAATTGTATGTAAATTGAGAACTTCGGAGATTTTGTGTGGTTTCGTTTGAAATTCGTGATTTCTCGAAAACCGGAAGTGCTACGTTACTCAAATCCGGTTTGTAGTCTTATCAGACTATTCTTAACTTATAACTTAAACATTCTCTTTATCTATCTCTTACGGTTTGGCCGCTGAAACAGCACCACAGACGGACGGACGGACGGACTTGTCTAATAGATAAGAGATTGTATTTGGATTGTATTTACCCGTGCATAAAATGTGCTTAAATTTTTAATGAAATAAAATAAAGCAACTAACAAAAAATAAAAATTTACATTAAATACGAAAATGGAACTAAAAAGTAAAAAAATATATCCGGTTCATACGAAATTGAGCGGATCCTTTTAGTCCTGAACCCAGGTGATCCATCATCATCATCAGCAGCATCAGCCTATTAAGGTCCCCACTGCTGCAGGCGACGGTTGCAGGGACACAGGCCATCCATATGGATGGAATACGGAGATTGGGCTGTGATCCACCACGCGGGCCCAGTGCGGATAGGCGGATACTAACGACTGCAGATGCAACAGCTTAACGTGCCTTCTGGAGCACGGAGGAACTCGAGATAGAAGTTTTTGGTCACCCATCCAATGACCGACCACTGCGAAAGTTGCTTGACTTCAACGATCGCAGCCCAAAGTGTAAAACAACTGCGCCATCGAGTTCCTCAGGTGAGTACCTGATGTCAATTGAAATGGGAGTCCAATCGTGAAAAATTATCCTATTAACAGATATCTGCATTAAAAATCCATGCGTGGTGGTTTTGGAAGAGTAAGCTAATGTACAGACAGTCGTATAAATTTACTTTATTTTATGATGCCATGTACGTATATAAATAAAAAGTTACATGAGACAGACAATATTACATAAAAAAAAAATAGGGTATTTTCCAAATTTTTGAAAACTGCTTATATTTAAAGACTAGTGGCCCGCCCTCGCTTCGCTTCGGTGTAGAGCTGTAGTGTAAACTATAGGTTTTGTTCTCAGGCTTGTGCTATAAACAATGACTTTATTTATATAATTACACGTGTTATTGTGAGTCAACCATAAAAGATAGACCATATGCTGTTGCGGGATATTTTTTAGACAATTTTATGTTCAATATTTCCGTTATACATGATTTCTATGTAACTTTAACCATTAAGGCTGCACACGCGACGGAAGCTTAAAAAATGGAGTAACTTCTCCCGTTTTCCCAACATTTCCCTTCACTGCTCTGCTGCTATTGATTGTAGAGTGATGAAAAGTATACTATAACCTGCCCAGGAGTATGAAGAATAATTGTACCAAGTTTCGTTAACATCCGTCTAGTAGTTTTTGTTTCTATAAGGAACATACACACAGACAGACAGACAGACAGACAGACAGACAAAAATTTTACTGATTGCATTTTTGGCATCAGTATCGATCACTAATCACCCCCTGATAGTTATTTTGAAAATATATTTCATGTACAGAATTGACCTCTCTACAGATTTATTATAAGTATAGAATAGATATAGATTGGGACAAACTATTTAACAGAAAAATAAAAATAAATAAATTAATGTCTTCTTTTCTCCATTACACCAATTAAAGTTGAATTTAATTTTGAAACGCTATGGTTCGATGACGTCTACTGTGTGACGTCAACGAAAGAAAGAGCGCGCGCAATTAATTTCACAACCTTGTGTGCGTCTGTGTAAAATCTTTCCCAATATTTTGGGAAATTCACCCCTCTTTGTGGCAACACTGCGTGACCCGTATAGTTCAGTTCTAAAGTAGGTCAATCTGAGTGCACTACCGCTGAAATATTCAATCAATACTCGTACTAGAATCTTCCTCGGATTAAACTAGATAGTATAATTTAAATTCGTATTGTAGCTTCAAAGATATTAAACAAATGGACATACAGTTAAATAATACTCTTACCTAAATCTTTTGTATATGCAAAAAAATATTATGAAAAATATGATAGACTGGCTACATCATATTCACATACAGACGAAATTTTGCTTAAAAAAATCAGGATCAATTAAGGAGCTTGATTCCCTTGTCCATTTACTTTTCAAAAGTAAATAAATGTTTCTAGAAAAAAAATGATGTGGTGTCGGCATAATAATTAGCCTGGCCATTCAACGGGGAAATGCCGCCAGCCTCTTGGGCACCCTACCCCGCGAGCGCAGCGATTTGGGGTCGATTTTTTATATAATATAGTTTTATTTTTAGTTTGATATAAGTATTTAGTTTATTAGGTAGTTTTAATCCATTTTGTGCTTTTAAATAATATATTATTTTAGGAATTTTTATATAATAAAATGTGGTGTCGTGGAACACCAGGTAGGAACGAAGTTCCTTCGGCGAATGTAGAATCGACACAAATTGCAAACTCGCGCGACAGTCGCATACACGCGACTGTCGCGCCTGGGCACGTCTCATTTAACGGTTTTATTCCACGCACTTTTTTCCACGGATTTTTTCTTACGGTTTTACTATCACATTTTTTTCAGTTCGGTCGCGTAGCAAAATCCCTATCCCCTCTTTGGAACTTCGTTCCAAAAACACTCAATGTCAGGTGCCATGCGAGATTCAAACCTACATCTTTCGTTATCCGTGCGGAAGCATAAACCATTTTGCAACGGTGTGTGTGAGCCTATAAATAATTATGTCCTTCAAAGAGATTTTAAATCATTTTTTTGTTTAATAGAAGCAGACTCAATAATAATTGAGTTAAGTATGTAAGTATATATATATTGGCCTATCATCCTTTTTGCACAATAATTTATTTATAATAATCTATACTTATAATAAATCTGTAGAGAGGACAATTCTGTACATGAAATATATTTTCAAAATAACTATCAGGGGGTGATTAGTGATCGATACTGATGCCAAAAATGCAATCAGTAAATTTTTTGTCTGTCTGTCGGTCTGTGTGTATGTTCCTTATAGGAACAAAAACTACTCGACGGATTTTAACGAAACTTGGTACAATTATTCTTCATACTCCTGGGCAGGTTATAGTATACTTTTCATCACGCTACAATCAATAGCAGCAGAGTAGTGAAGGGAAATGTTGAGAAAACGGGAGAAGTTACTCCATTTTTTAAGCTTCCGTCGCGTGTGCAGCCTTAATATAGAAATCATGTATGACGAAAATATTCTACATAAAATTGTCTAAATAATATCCCGCAACAGCATATGTCTATATTTTATGGTTGACTCACAATAACACGTGTAATTATATAAATAAAGTCATTGTTTATAGCACAAGCCTGAGAACAAAAACTATAGTTTACACTACAGCTCTACACCGAAGCGAAGCGAGGGCGGGCCACTAGTAAGAAATAAAATAGTCACTACATGGATTGGATTAATATCTCCACTCCACGCAACTCTTAGAGGACAGGGTCACTTTTGACTCAAGAATCTAAAGCGTATATCTCTTATCTATTAGACAAGTCCGTCCGTCCGTCCGTCTGTGGTGCTGTTTCAGCGGCCCAATCATAAGAGATAGATAAAGAGAATGTTTAAGTTATAAGTTAAGAATAGTCTGATAAGACTACAAACCGGATTTGAGTAACGTAGCACTTCCGATTTTCGAGAAACCACGATTTTCAAACGGAACCACACAAAATCTCCGAAGTTCTCAATTAATTAAATACATTTTTTTTTAAATCAGGTTTTGGTGAACATTTGGTTCACTGGTTTGCTAGTTTTTAATATAATATCTATACTAAAAATACGCGTCACGTTGATTGTCCAGGATGGACTCCTAAACAACTTAACCGTTTCGCTTGTTTGATCCAACTTGATACATAGGATAGCCTTCATTATAGCCGCAATATTATTTTATTGCAAACTAGCGGCCCGCCCGCGGTGTAGAGCTGAAGTGTAGACAACAGTTTTTGTTCTCAGGCTTGTATTATACACAATGAAATTCATCTATGATTCTTCTTATACCTGCATGCAAAATCTCAGCCTGATCGGTTTAAAATTGTCAAAGTTTAATACAAACTGTCATTCCCTATTTTATCCCCTTGGGGGTAGAATTGATCAAAATCCTTTCTTAGCGGATGCCTACGTCATAACATCTACCTGCATGCCGAATTTCAGCCCGATCCGTCCAGTGGTTTGGGCTGTGCGTTGATAGATCGCTATGTCTGTCAGTCAGTCACCTTTGAGTTTTATTTAAATAGATTATTACTTTTGGGCGGTACGAAGTTCACCGAGTCAGCTAGTAATAACAATAAAATGCTTGCAATCATTTAATGCATCAAATAATCCTTTCGTCTTATCTATATAAACTGTATACATACATCTCTAAACCAATAAGTTGGCGGGTCTGTAGGTACATAAGTAGATCCAGGTTGAACCACAACCCACCCCCACCCCCAAATGGCCTAATTCTCACCCCCACATTTACCCTACGACCTTTAAAACGCGCATGCGCGAACCTAGCCCGCTGAAATCTCACCCGGCCATTTCAGTCTGCCTTCAACTCGGTTGGACCGCTCACTTCAGCTTACCCAGAAGCTGAAAAAACAAATTTTCTCTCTAAAAAACACCGTATATCTCTTTCATATATGAAAAACTTATCTAAAACTTCGAAATTTCTCGATAGTACCCTTTACATTTTGAATAATTTAATCAACGACCCCCTGCGTCACATATTAATCTGTTTCTCCACCAAAAATATATCTTACAAGTAGTGTTGCCAGTATTGTTAACTTTAAAAGCTAACATTACCCCGTTTGTTGTTTAAATTTAGTATAATTGTAAATATAAATTGTTGAGAAGCGGTTTTTAAGGTTAGTAATTTTAATTATAATTACATTAATGTACTGTTTAGATTTATGTAGTGTTTAGATGCTCATTTCAGTATTTTTTCTTCAAGTAGACTGTATGATTTCATTGTTTGAAATGTCACCTTTGACCTTTTAGTATGGATTTTTTAGCGCATGTGCAGTGACGTCTGCGCAGAATTAAAAAAAAAACTTTGTTGTATTTTGCCTTATATCTTGTCTGTATTCAACAAATAAAGACTTTAAATAGTTATACCTATCAGCTACGTTCTTTTCGTTTTAATAATTTAAGACAAAAGAGTTTGAAGGCAAATCTATTAATATTCATTTTTCTTTCTTTTCCAGAATAGTATAGAAGTTATGTCCAAGTTAACACTGGACGGCTTTTTTTCGTACTGCAAGCAAATTGCCGAACATATCCAGTTGGTTCGTTCTCAATTCGATTTGTTGTTTGTAAATTAGCCGCCATTTTCCTTAGCTGCGCGGCGGCCATGTTGTTTTTCCGCTTCTGCCACCATTTTGATTTGTGTTCCTTTGTTTTATCTTTCTGAATGTGCTTAACATAAAAAAATACTCGTTTTTTTTATTTCATATTGAATCACTATATAAGTAGCTTGTATTTGACTCAATTTGCTTCTTTGTAACATATGTGTTTTATTAGTATTTAGAATAGTTTATTTTTTAAGTTTTATGATCTTTTCTTGCATGAAATTCACATTATCGTAAAATCTCATCCATGGTTTTGTTGCACATCTGCATGTTTATAGATAAAAACAAGTTTCTACGGTAATTTGTAGTTTCATTGTACGAAATAACAAAGAGTGTTTTGGTGTGTTCTTTGGGTGCAAAACTGACAAAAATATATTGTTCCGCCTGATGGTAACTGGGTACCATAGCTAATAAACGCTTGGGTTACCAAAACTATCACTTATGCCACTGCCTACTCTGCCTCTATCCCCTACCTCGTGGAGCTCTGTTATAGAATAGAATAGAATAGAATAAACTTTATTTGCATTAAATAGGGTTGACAAGCGGTGTTTGCATATAAAGCATATGTTAAAAGCTAAGAATCTTAAACCTATTTAGCCATATTAATAGCATGCAAAAAATTCTAATATATTAAAACATAACAGTCATATTAAATTTACTAATCATTCATTTAATAACAAGTATTTTATCATTATAATTTAAATTCAAATTTATGTCAAAATTAAGTACAATTCTCAATAGCAGGAGGACAAGCCTGCAGAAAGTATTATTCGGGTTTAATAGTCTATATTAATATTTAAAAGAGGTTAAGTTTATAGAGTCTGTGCGGAAAGAGAATGGGATTTAGATTGGAGGGCGCTGTAGTGCTTTTCTACCATATTTGTAAGGTTTTACCCCTTTTAGACATGACTAAAGACAAAGAACCGCAAGAAATCACAACAACAAACGATTCCTAACCCAGCAATCTGTTAAACTTTGACGTTTAACAGATTGCTGGGTTTGATTGCCAAATAAAAATCTTAATGCTAGTTCCGTTTTTCGCCACGACCATTCACTTTCCGCACAGACTCTAATAGAAAAAGTTTACTCTTAATGAATTACGCTGGTTATCCGACAGTATAAAAAATAAAGCATTAATTTTGGCATGTGTATTTTCAAAACGATTTCATTATTCTGACAAAAAAAAGGTAGTCGATAATGTTACTAAAAATCATAAAATAGAAAAGTATTTTTTAATCTAGTAACACGTGACCGAAACCGTCAAAGATTGGCGGAGTCTTAAATGACGTCAGCTGCTTGTAAACATGCTGACGAACTTTGTACTGTTGGAAGTTAATGAGAGCCATGTGACGTCACCTGCCTGTAAGCAAACAAAACTAGAGAAATGTTTCCGCAGCATATTTTTTATTTATAAACAGTTTTGAGGTTTTGAATAGGTATTTTTACTGAAATACATATTCAACATAATTACTTTTGATGAAGTAACTATACACTAATACAATTACGTATGTTGGGTTTTCAAAAACTTGTCCAATTGTCTAATTTGTCATTCGACTTTGGTATTTAATTAAAATTCTATGTATTACCATCATTATGTCCATAAATTTGAACAATTCAAAATTCAATATCGTTTAGTATGACAACAAGCACTTTTGTGAATGTCGAAAAGCCATCGGTTCGCAAATCTACGGTGGGAGACATTGGTGTCGATTCTAGCACGATTCTCTAAATCTCAACTTAAATTTGACAACAGTGTTTCCTTGTCATTCTCTATATAGAATGAAAAAGAGAGACTGATGTTAAATTTAGTTTTAAGTTTAGAGAATCACGCCAGAATCGACACCATTGTACTGATAAAAACCGGCAAGAAACTCACCCAAGTGCTGCTTTTTTCTCACTGCATTATAATAATATACAGAGTCGTCAAATTGAAAAATGACTTCAATATGAGATAATTCATGAAGTCACTTTTTATCTATACTTATAATAAATCTGTATAGAGGTCAATTCTGTACATGAAATATATTTTCAAAATAACTATCAGGGGGTGATTAGTGATCGATACTGATGCCAAAAATGCAATCAGTAAAATTTTTGTCTGTCTGTCTGTCTGTGTGTATGTTCCTTATAGAAACAAAAACTATTCGACGGATGTTCACGAAACTTGGTACAATTATTCTTCATACTCCTGGGCAGGTTATAGTATACTTTTCATCACGCTACAATCAATAGCAGCAGAGTAGTTACTCCATTTTTTAAGCTTCCGTTGCGTGTGCAGCCTTAATGGTTAAAGTTACACAGAAATCATGTATGACGGAAATATTCTACATAAAATTGTCTAAAAAATATCCCGCAACAGCATATGTCTATCTTTTATGGTTGACTCACAATAACACGTGTAATTATATAAATAAAGTCATTGTTTATAGCACAAGCCTGAGAACAAAAACTATAGTTTACACTACAGCTCTACACCGAAGCGAGGGCGGGCCACTAGTTACAAATTTAAATAATATAAAAATTATGCCTATAAATACAATTCTAAGAATACCTACTGATTTAACACATAGTTTTAGAATGCTATCTCCAACAGTTTAGACAATAATAATATTAATTCACTAACATAAACCAATTTTGTAAGTAATAATTTGATAGTTTTACCGTGAGTTGCATCAGCTTGCTTTAAATGTTCATACCGGTTAGGAAAAAAAGGATTGCACCATTTCACGACAGACTATCACACTGACCGCGTTGTTTCATCAGTGCCCTCAGCACGAAGCAATATCGAATTCGTAACGTTTGCGAGTACAAAATGTCATTGTCAAATGTGTACTGATTTTTAGTTCTCGTTACGTACTTTGTGCCGCTGCTGTTCAAGTTTCCATACAAAATTTTACAATGATATTTCGTATTCGCAAACTATTCGAATTCGATATAGGTTCGTGCTAAGGGTACTGTAGTTAAATTTGACTAAAATTTAATGTGACGTCAAATACATACACTGGCCTGTATAACTTAGTATCACATTTGCTTTTCTAAATGATAGTGGTTAAAGATTTAAAATAAAAAAGATTAATAGTAAATCTTATCAGATTTCTTGAAACTGTAGTACAAATTTAAATATTCTTTTCGAATCCTTTATTGCAATTTTAATGTGTCAAATTTGGACAAATGGTTTGTTTTTTTAACTATAGTTAAATTAATACATGAAACACCCTAGCTTTAAGTGTGAGTTGTACTACAGAGCCAGTTAAAGTAAAAATAATTTTTCACTTTGTGTTTTAATGTCAACAGGGCGAGAGAATGGCGGCTTTATCCGGTCAAGGCACACCTAAGCTGACATCTGCTGTCGGCAACCTGTACTACGATTGTGAGTACCTCTATAATAAGGAAAATATTTAAATAATCCTCAGAAAACCTAAACAGGTTACCTTAGGCCAAATTGACAGTTGTATTTTTCAGTTTCCGTACCTGAAAAGGAAAAAAACGGAACTTTCAGCCCATTAATGTCCCCCACTGCTGGGGCAAAGGCCTTCCCTATGGATGGAATAGGGAGATTGGGCCATGACCCACCACGCGGGCCCAGTGCGGATTGGTGGGTGCTAACGACTGCAGATACAGTCGGGACTAACGGCTTAACGTGCCTTCCGAAGCACGGAGGAGCTCGAGATAGAAATTTTATTTTTTTGGTCACCCATCCAATGACCGACCACTGCGAAAGTTGCTTAACTTCAACGATCGCAGCCGAACGCGCTAACCACTTGTGATATCGTAAACATCGATAAACCATAAACCATATGGAATGTAAAATGATACGTTGTAATTTCCGTTCGGTTTCCGGGAGGGGGCTACTGTCTCCGGATGTTGTACACCCCAGAGATAAGGATCACATACTAAAGATAAAACTTTGCTACTGACGGCTAACCCTCCTGATTTAACGAATCTAGGGTCACTTGCATCCACATTTTAAGGGTTCCGTTCTCAAAATTATTTTAGGTGAAAATTACGAAAAAAATCATTAAAAATATTATAACTCGAAAACTACGCAAAATCGTAGAACATACATGGGGGTGATTTGGATACTCCTCATCCTAAGGTATCTAAATTTTACGCTTGAACGTCAACTCCCCGGCCACCCTGTATACGTTTGAATGTCTATATGTTTACTAAATACGAAATAAATGATTTTCTATCTTGATGAAAATTGAGAAAGAAAAATAGTTGAAAGAAATACTAATTTAAAATTTTTTAATAAACGACGAACGTCACGTTGCCACGGTAATAATATCATACAGTATTCTATCTTCATACAAACGGTCGGAAAGCGAGTCATACCTACGCCACTCGAGTTCGATGTGCTCTCGGCGGGCACCCAGTCGCGAATGCGCCGCCGCGCCGCAACGACGACCGAACGGTCTGAATTGTTTTTTATGCAGTTAGCCGTGCTTAAACATGCGTTTTGTATTGTAAATATTTGATTTAATTAAGTAGATACCTACATAATTTAGTATGGAAAAGAACAAACGACGATCAATATCGTACAACAGCACAATTGCTGTTTTTGGTTGCTTGAACTCTTCAATAACACACCCAGAGATATAATTTTTTAAATTACCTGTAATATTGGAAAGGTGTCTTACCTTTATAGAATATTTTTATATACCTATCTACTAGTACGTTATTTGTTTCTAATATTTAGGTATTTCGGTTTTTCCATCAGGCAAAATATCTGGAATAATATATAAATAAGTGGTTAGGATGAAAAAAGAGACAAACGAGTAATCTACCTACACTCGCGTTAAAAACAAAACTACATAAAATACTGTAGGCTGGCGGCCCTACCGCGTGCCAACGCAGCGTTCGGTGTAGGCATTTATTTTCAAGGACAGGGCGGAGTCACATTACTGTATAGATAATATTACCGTGACGTTGCCGTAGACCCCCCCCCCCCCCCTTGTCACATCTTGTCACACTTAGCAAGACCCCCCCCCTTGTATGCGAACGTATTTTATGAACGGCCCCTTATTACAGCGCTGTTATGGTGGGAATATTCCATTCCTACTATAACAGCATTAAGCTGAGACAGGGTCCTGATTGGCCTTTTCTTTCTCCATATTGTTGCTCACTGTTGCTATTTTATTTTTGTTGCTATGTTTATTGTTTTTTTGAAGTTATACTTCTTTAGCCGCGTTATAAAAAAATTGTGAGAGTGAAATTTTAAGATGCGCGCGCATCACTGTAACACAGTAGTAACATAATGAAGTTGGCCGCGGGCGCGTTATGAATGTTAGTGTCTAATAATGGTGGATTATTAACCACTTAGTGGTTAATAAATAATCCACCATTATTAGAAATCTGTTCGAAAGGTACTTTGAACGATCCACGGAGCTCCATAAGATGATCGCGTTGTCAAAAACAATGTTGGCACGCTCGTCGCCTCTGATCACTGTTTTCATATTTATAATATTTATCCACATGTTTCTAGTTTCTATATAGACACAACGTGTTTTAGTTACTTACAAGTGCTAATTATAAAAATGATTCTCTCTCTCTCTCTCTCTCTAATTACATATGGACTAATAACTTAAATTCAGTAGTGATTTTAATTGAATATTTTGAATATTTATTTAATTTTTCAAATTAAAACTGAACTTAATTGACTGTGTTAACTATCCTTTTCCAGTCCTTTTATTATTTTATTGTAATTATTAATTATTTGCATGCAATTAAAAAATATTTTTAACGATGCTAAAGAAGTATAACTTCTCACGCGCGTACATAAGTTACACGCATCCATTTTTTCTACATTCTTGTGTAAGGTCAATAAAAGCTTTTTCTTTCTTTCTTTCTTTCAAAATTATGCCGTAAAGCGTCCGTAAGGGTTACGGGGTCCTCAGTGGGCAGCCACTGCTGGGGCTACGAGCCCTGCGGAAGGCTCTAATTCACAAAACTTTTGAACTAAAAGTTGAATTTGACAGATAATTGTTCGAAATTTTTACCTCAAATTGACGGAATTAAAAGTGTTACCTTTTCATTATCGTTATGGGATTTTTGTTAAAATTAAACCTAAAATTACTACTGGAGTATTTTTAATTAAGGCGATTAGCGTGAGGACTATTTTTAGTATGAAAGATTTACAAATAAATCTAACTAGCAAAACAGTGAACCAAATGTTCACCAAAACCTGATTAAAAAAAAATGTATTTAATTAATTGAGAACTTCGGAGATTTTGTGTGGTTTCGTTTGAAATTCGTGATTTCTCGTAAACCGGAAGTGCTACGTTACTCAAATCCGGTTTGTAGTCTTATCAGACTATTCTTAACTTATAACTTAAATATTCTCTTTATCTATCTCTTACGGTTTGGCAGCTGAAACAGCACCACAGACGGACGGACTTGTCTAATAGATAAGAGATTTTTGTTTATACTTCAAAGTGTTACACGACAAATTTAGGTTGACATATATTCGATTGCATCAACTCTACAATATAGTCGGCTAACACTGTCAAAAGAGATTGTTTTTTATGTAATCAAAATGTTGTCATAAAGTAATATTGTTTTGAAGTAAAAAACGTTATCTAAAAAGTGTAGACGAAAAGAACTCACAAACATAACTCATTCCATTCGTTCACGATAATTGTCTGTGATTCCGAACTTTATGTGCGTGTTCGAAGATGAAATAGAGTAGGTTTGGCGGGATTTGATCGAGTGTGGTTGGCGTCTTATTTTAAATATTCTTAAATTCGTTCATAGTGGATATTGTGAAATAAAATTGATGTGATTTTGTGTTACAACTGTCTGCGTAACTGAAGAATTAGTAGAATCGTCAAAATATACGCTATTCCGGTCAAGTGGACGTGAGAATTTTATTGTAGTATTGACTACCTCACAGAAGCTTATCGAAAAAGCCAGCTCGATACATTTCGTGCCAAACACTTCAAGAAACATTAGAATGCGTCACACCGACATTCTAATGTAAAAAGAAAAACAGAATAATTTAACTTAAGACTAGGCTGTATGGGCATTGTTCCCCTTGCCTTCCCTGAAAAGGGAGAATTAAACAAAAAAAATTAAATAGAGTTGGAGAATTTCGTTTAAAGTTCGTTCGTTGCCTAAATTTCGTTTCGGAGAAAGAGAGTAGAGCTCCAGGTGTGAGGTCCGTTCGGCGGTGTGCCTCTTAAAGGCGTCGTCGTCTGTAAATAGTATTCTTTGCCTGCGTATAAAAAAAAAGGGTTCCGTACTTATAAGAAAAATAGGCTCTATTGACACCACTGTCCGTTCGTCAGTGTGTCAGTCACCCGGTTCTCATGAACCGGGTTAGCTAGACAGTTGAAATTTTCACAGATAATGTACTTCTGTTGCCGCTATAACAACACAACACATACTAAAAATCAAATAAAATAAATATTCAAGCTTCCATACAGCAATCGTTATTTTTTACCGTTTTTTGCTCTTACAGGCTTTTGCTTTTACTCATTAAAAACGGCAACAGGTAGACGTTTGAAATATTCACAGAACATTTAGTTGTATATTTACGCTTAAAAAACCAGTGCAGTGAAACTTCTTTAGCTCTATCTGTATATATATATATACCTAGTCAGGTCATAAATTCTGTCACATGTTTAATATAAAATAATTGAAACAAGTTTATTCATTATGTAACCATTTATATACCAAAAACCGCAACGATGCTACGCAATAACTGCAACACGGTCTTATTTAAGCGTCCAATCCATATTTAAAAATGACTAAAATTCTAAAAAGAATACATTTTGACGTGACAACGTCTTAAATTAGGTTGCGGCTGGGAGTCACTTATGAAAAAGTGTAACGCTCGGTAACGTTACGATGAGTCTCTCGTGTTAAGTTTAAGTTTACATGTACAATGTTTTAGTAAACAAAATATATTTCTATAGTTAAAATTTGTGCAATTCTTATTTTCATTCAATTCCTTGTTCCTATTGTGCAATTTAATTATATTCATATCAATAAATATTCTACCGAGAAAAAGACGTTGTCACGTAAAATCTTCGCCCGTAAAACCGACTTTACAGGCAACCATTTTTTTATTTTCATGAACAATTCGAAATTCGAATTCAATAAACTTTTTTGTGGCCAGCATTCTAAAAGACAAGTTTTTACTGTGTGACAATACTTATGACCTGACTGTGTATATATGTGTGTGTACACTATATACATGTATGTACATATACATATTTCATTTACTAGCTATAAGAGAAAGAGAGAAAGAAAATGTGCGCGCGCACTGCTCTCTCTTGCTTATATCCCCTACTCAACTCCCGTTCTCCTCGCCCGAATACGCTATTCGTAACGCGTAACGCATTCGTCAGCTTACCCCCCAAGTCAAGC